GCATAATATTGAAGTTTATGTAGAATTAGTTTTTTTTTTAAAGTTTTTTATATAATTATTTGTTTTATTTTTGGAATTTTAAATAAAGAAAAACTAAAACCTAAATTGGAAATAGTGAATCCAAGCATAATATTAAATTTTATTTATTCTTATTTTTAATAAATATATATATATATAATTATTTGTTTTATTTTTGGAATTTTAAACCCTAATCTTTAAATTCTAATTTTTAAATCCTAAATTCTAATTTTTATATTCTAAATCATAATCTACAAAACCTTAAAAAATTAAAATAAAAACTAAATCTAAATTCTAATCTTTATATTTATTATTATATATATTATCAAAATATTTGATTAAATATTTAATCTTTTATTTTATTTTTTTATTTTTCTTTAAACATAATATTATATGGCATATTTTAATTGGCTAACATGAAAATGGGTTAATGAATGAATTCACCCCTAGGGGTGAACCCAAGAATTTTCCATTTTCTTTTTGTTTTTGGTTTTTAGTTTTTAGATTTTGAGTTTTTGGTTTTTGATTTTTCTATGGATTTATAAAATTTGCAAAAAAAAATAGAGAACAATCTCGATGATTAATGGGGAATACCCAAAAAAAAAAATATAGTTTTTTGTAGAAAATGGAAAATCTAGTTTTCTAAAAAATTAAAGAATCACTTTGACCAAAATCTTGATTGGATAGTAAATTGGTTATCTAAAAAACAAAAACCAAAAACTAATTCAAAAACCACAAAAATATTGTTTACATATTCTCTCTTTTTTCGGGTTTCTTGATTCCAAAAATTTATCAGTTATCCACCGGTTTATGTATCAAAGTTTGATCAAACAATAAAATTTCAGATGAGAAAAAAAAACTCACCAGAATACAAATGTGAATTACTTTTATAAATTACATTGTAATTTTAATTAACCTCACTTTGCGCTAAGTATTTCAATATTTCTACATGAAGAAAGGGTTGGATTTGTGGGTTTTGTCATTTGAGTTGCGCAGTACTGAATAGTACGTAAGGATGCTTTGTTTGACAACTAACAAACATCCCAAACACGGAACCGTGTACATATATCTTTTGTTTGATTTTCACTTTAATCACGAGTATATCCTTAGCCTTTTAACAAACTCCAAATTTGATTGTAATTAATAGTACATTTTTATGCTTACCAAATTTTTTCTTCTACGACAAACGATTATTGATTTTAAATCAGACTTACAAAATCACTTTAAGAAAACAAGTTATAACATAAACATATATATGCATTATATACTGAAAATATATAATAAAAGAAGTAATTGTGATCTTATTTGCTAATAAATTATTAAATCAGTTACCAAATTTCATTTTATTAATTATGAATAATTATGATAATTTTAATTATTTTACCAAAAAATGATTTTAACTAAACATTGAGAGAAAAATGTATTACTTCAAAAAAAAAATCAACGTTTTTGCACCAATCCATTTAACAACAAAAACAATAACATGTGAATCTGTTGAACATTATTTGTTTTCCTACAGAAGACAATAGCTTAAGGAACGTTATATTCGATCTCTAGAAAAACAATCTCATCCAAATTTGAAAATATTCTATACTTTCATCCGATTCGAGACTACTATATTTATCACTTGCATAGTAGCATTTGCATGTGAAGATTTTTCTTCTACTACTCAAGATCGGTTTCAAGAAAAGCATTATTGTTAGAGCCAATTAGACCAGTTTGAGATACACATATGGTCTTGGCCGCTCATGGTAAGGTTTCTCAAGATGTATGTGAGTTTTACACCTTATTTTGCAATCCCTCGTATTTATATTTATAAGATTATAGTATATCACTTTAACACTTCTAGTTATGACATGACTAAGATATTAAAAAATGTGAAAGCTCGGCATAATTTAACTAATGGCCCAAAACATCAGAGAAAATTTTAAATAAGTAAAATATCAAAGAAGAAAAAGTAGATACCAAAAAATCGTATTTATCCACTCCTAAAAAATATCGAATAGATAAAATAGTTCCCTTAGAACTAATACTTGTAAATATTATTTTATAAAAAGGAGACGACATAAAGGAAAGGGGACACAAAAGTCGACAGTAATCTTTAGCAACAACCGAATTTTTAATAGTAACCATAGTTTAGATATTTGCAATGTCTTGACACTTATTTAGTACAGAGATTAATCGATTAACAAAAAAGAAATATATTTGATTCCGTGTTTTCTATAGTTCTTAATGGGATATTGTTTTATGTGCAAAGAGTGAATAGTTCAAAATCATAACTTGATTGGATGGATCAAGAAACAATTTTTTTTTTGAATGCAGGATCAGGAAACAATCTGAAAAAATTATATAGTCATAAAATGTTAATTTTGTAAAATAAATTCTTACATAATTGTCTTATTAATGATGAGCGTAAAAATATATTTTTGAAGGTAAAGCGTGAACTGTGTATGTATTCCTAACCTAAGTGTTTATCTTGATTAGAGCAGGTCCATTAGTAAACCCCTCTATAAGATTCATTAGATTAAAAAATTATTTTAAAAAAAAAAAAAATTTGGGAAGAACTTGGGTTAGTTTTATGGTTCCATTAGTGAACCTGAAAATGAGATTCATCCCAAATAAAAAAAATTTATATTTTTTTTTAAAGAAATAAATTTATACACACAACTATTATAAAAGAAAAATACAATTCATTATAAATAATTTTAAAACATACAATATAGTAAAAAACAATTTGTTACAAGAAAATTAAAAACAAACAATATTTGAAATATAGAAATACTTACAACATTTGTTCTATATTTAAGAAGTTCTATTACCAAAAGATAAATTCAAAATCAACTATGTTTGGAAAAGAGTAAGATCGAGCACTCACATATCCAAGCCTCCAACCCATCATGCCGTAGGTTTTAGAGAAGGAGAAGAGGTTAACAATGTGGTCTCCCTCAACGCAAGAATGTTTTAAACCGTCATACATGAAATACCTGCGTTTTTCATTCAAATCCATTTTTACAAGACCAGAAACATTCAATTCGGACATCATGTGACTTTGGCAAATGAGAAAACTCACTCGTATGTGTTATCTACAATCAGTCAACACCCTGCATATTTGCATATCTCCGAAATCCTCTTGAGAAGAGGTTCAGGGACATAGGTGCCGCTTGGGTTACCAGGATTCACAACAGTTACAACTTTTGGGGTCGTTTTAGACTCAGAGAGTGTCCTCTCTAACCAATCTGGGAAAAGAGACTCACGAGTCACAACTTCAAATCTATGTAAATCATGTAAATGTGATTCAATTCAAAGTCAAGGAGGTACCTGCGTCGGGATAGAGTCTCAGGATGGCCAGGACCAACAATTATGTTGGTCTCTTGTCATCTGAAAGGCCATGTAGACGTTGAAGTAGTATGGCTCAAACATGACAACCGAATCACCATGATCACATAGTGTAAGAACAAGATTCACAAAAGCCTGCATTTGATACAGAAACAGAGGAAACAGATGCAATCACAAAATGGTTTGCTAGTTCAAGAAACAGATGCAATCACAAAATGATCTAAAAGCAAAGTATTACCTGTAAGGCCTTTGTTACATTAGGAATAGCCGCTTCATTCAAAGTTCCATCAGCCTTCAAGATCAAACAAAAAAGCCAACAAAAAAAGATCAGATTCAATTTTGAGGCCACACTTGAAATCTCAACAGAGTAGTGATCATAGAGGATCTTCAAGACAATTTAAATATCATGTGCAATGCTCATTTCTGAGATCTGATATAACTATTGAATCAATCGACGTAGACTACTGTATCTTCAGAATGCTCATTGTCATTAACTTGTGCAAATAGATACAATGTGCTAATTATATACAAAGCATTCTAGCAAATCTACTCACGAACTATGTAAGGAGCTTGTAACCGTATATATACACTTAATAGAGATTGAGGATGATAATCACACAAAGTCACTAGACCAGTTAACCAAAGAGAGAGAGTGTGTGATGAACCTGAAAAAACATGGTGAGCATGTCTGAAGGAGAGACAGGCACAGGGACAGTCTCTTGCTGTTGTTGTTGCTCTTCATCTGCAACTGCAACACCTTCTCCTCCTTCTCCAACCGACGAAAGCTTCCTCAACCCAAGGCGATTGTGTTTCGTAAACCCCGAGAAATTGCAAATTCGGCTATTCCCGACGGGCCTGCATTTGGTACAGAAACGGCTCCTGCACCGGCAGCGGTTGCTGACATGGCGGATAAAACGATGCTTGGATTACAACTCCACTGGTAAATTTGATAGATGTTTCTATTGATTGGAAATGTTGGGAAGAAGAAGAGTAGAGAAGAAATCACCATGAAATAAAAATGATTTTTGCTTGAGAAAAATAAATTTCTCTCTTAAAATTACACATTTTTTCCATCTAATCACGTTTTGCCATGTGGTGATGAACCCGGCTCTTCAGACTTTCCCAGACGACCCGATTCTTCCCGTTTGAATTTTTTTTCTTTTTTTTAATTATGTTTTGCATATGATTTCGAGCCCAAGTAAAGGGATGAACCCCCGCTGGACATGGTCTTATATTTCTTCATTATAACATGGCCACATGAGTGTATTTTCGGATAACAACAAATATACGTACCAGGCACTAAGCAGGAGCGGTAGTTACAGTCATTAATATTTAAATACCCGAGTTAATTCTAGATTGCTTTTTAAAATACCCTAACAACCAAAAAAAATGTTGCGATAAAAATTATGGAATCATTGAAAATGTATTGCGCTTGTCATGGACCGACATATTCAAGTTTTATTCTTTTCAAACGTAATGAATAAAATTTCAACGTTTAAGACTTTATCAAAAACTAGAACGAATCTCTGTAAAATTTCACAGCTTCACACACACACTTTAATTCAAAACATAATAATATTTTTTTCAACTAAACCTCCCCAACATATATATAAATAGATAAATACAGTTACAATACAACCGCTTTACGACATTTCACATTATTCCATTAATAACAGAAAAAAAAAAAGCAGAGCAGAGAAAATGGGAAACAGCATTGCTGCAAGGAGAAAGAAAGCGAAAGTAATGAAAATCGACGGCGAGATTTTCCGAATTAAAACTCCGGCGACGGCGAGAGAAATCACGGCGGATTATCCCGGTTACGTCCTGTTAGATTCCGAAGCTGTAAAACACTTCGGAGTTCGCGCCAAACCGCTTGAGCCGAGCCAGATCTTAAAACCTAAGAAGACGTATTTTCTCGTCGAGCTTCCTAAGCTTCCGCCGGAGAATCCACCGGAAACTAATAATAAGCTTCCGTACCGGCGAGTTATGTCCGGAATCCACGTCGGTGCGAAGGAGCGGTTAGAAATGCTGATGCTTTCTCGGAGAACGGTTTCCGATGTTGCGATCGCTAGATCTGACGGCGGCGGAGATGGGCCTGGGCTTGGTCTTGAGCCTAGTCAGACGAGCGTGAGGCTGAGGTTGCCTCGATCTCAGATCACGAAGTTTATGGAGGAGAGCCATGACACTTCGGAGATCGCCGAGAAGATTTTAAGTCTGTATAGAGAGAGTTCCGGCGATATTGGCGGCGGTGAAGGTCGTCGGAAACTTAGAACCGGGGGTGTTAAGGCGCGTGAGGTATTTCTTTCATCACCGTTTTGCAGCTTTTTATTTTGAAGTTTGGTCAAAATAAGTTTACCGCGTCAAAGCTCAATGTTTTATTTTTTTTTTCTATTGGTCAAGTATAACATGAAGGAAATACGTTAAATATCAAAAAATTAAAGTTCTGTTTCAAATCTAGCACACGAAAAGTAAATTTTCGAAATAATGAAAATTATTATGTGACTCTATTATATATAAACTTAAAACACTGTGTTTGGATTCATATTTTCCAATTTAAAGTTATATTTTCTTATTAAAAAAAGTTTTTGAATATTTCGATATTGAATTTGTGTTATTATTAGAAATTTAAATTAATGGTGTTACATTTAGATCAGAAACTTACCCAATTAATATAAATCGTTGGCAAAAAACCTGAAAATTTAAGCAAGCATCAGTTTGATAGAAACGTTTAATATAAATAATATACATAATACATTGATATAAGCAAACAAAAGTTGGAATTTCTAATCGTATAATAGTGTTAAAAAAAATTTTGAAGATTAAGCAGAATCCAATTTAATATAAACTACTATATAATTGATTTAAGCAACAAGATAGCATGGAGCTCTGGCTCAGTGCAAGACAATAGCTATCTAGTTGATTTTTTCTTCTAACTCTTGCCCCAAATGAGACATTTAATTTATTTAAAAAAAGTAATATTTTTCTAATTGAATAAATTTCACATTCTTTCGGATAAAAAGATATAAGCAACAAGAAATAGAATTTATAAATCGTAGAATAATGTCAACTATCACTTGTGGTGGGGATACGTTTGCAATAATAACATAATCCGTGATTAAGAATTTTTTTTAGTTTATTGGAGTAGAGTTTCTATATTGATGTGCAAGACAAGAAACAGAATTTTAATTTTAAGCATTGCTTTAGCATTTGATTAGAGTATATTAATCATTATAGTAACCACTAGGCCACTAGGCTTTATGTAACTTATCTATTTACGTCATCTACAAACGTGATTATGACGTACGTATTATAAATAAAAATGTGCATGCATACTTAATCTTATCTGAATAATTTTTGCTAAAAACAGAATTTCTTTCAAAACAGTTTAATAAATTATTTATTAACTAATCACATGAGTATATTAAATACATGCTAATGAATACCGAATTTCATATATATACTGATATACATATATAGTCAAACATTTATCGAGACAGGAGTGGACTTATAATAGGATCGAGAACAAAACTTGTTAATGGGTTCACATGGCAAATAATTTATGAAAAATATAAATTAACAAATGAAATACCATATTTATACCAATTATGAAGATCCTCCTCTACATCATCAAAGAATATTTTGCCGGTTTGTATGGCTAATCATATATTATTTTTTTCTCCAAAATTAATTTTAAGTCAAAGAAGAACTAATTTTAATCAAACACGTGCAGAAGCAGGTGAGTTTCGCTGGAGAAGGTGGACATGAGCTTCCTGTTCTATAGAGCAGAAAGGGAAAATAACCATCACTTAGATAACAAATTTTCTCTTTTTTTCCTGTTTATTTATTTTCTTATATAAATAGACTATGGTATGACTCATATCTTATGTGTATTTACTGTATATTATATAGCAACTAGAATTCAATTAGAGCTTGTTTATTCGTGTGTGTCAACAAACTTTTCCCTTCTTTCCCTTATAATCGGGATAGATCATGAATTGAAAATCCGAAAATCAGATTAATCTTTAGTGCATGTAAAACTCGAATATTGCCGTCACTTTGCATGTGTAAAGCAAAAAAAGGAACAACGATGATTTTTTTTGTAGTTAATGGAAGTCGATCCAAGTTTTTAATCCATTGTAATAAACCATCGAACAAAACAGTTTTAGTTTGAAAACTTTCATCTTGATTATTTACATTTTTTGTCATTTCAGATTTTTAAAAATAAGAAATTTATATATGCCCCTAATAGAAATGGTGGGTTGCATCTACCATCTATGGCCTACCCTACCACTACCAAAGTACCAATTACCACAAATAATCAACGAACATTATGTATGCAATCAACTTTTTTTTTTCCGGGATAAAAGAGAATTCCCAAAACGACAGGATTTTAAAGAATCTGAAGAAAAATCTAAAAAATATTTTGCTTTGGGCTGCCCACTAGACGCGAGACAGAATGATTACTTATCCATTGCATGCATCACATTCTAACATTTCCCTTTACTTTTACATAATGATTATAAAATAATGCTTTCTAATAACAACTCGATCGATTTGTACCTTTAAGAATAAAAGAACCATAAAGGATTATTCAAACTACATCATCAGACATCAACGATCTGTGTAAACTGAATATTCATGAATTTGAACACCAGAGATGATGTAAAAAGTTCACAATCTCTTTTAGCAAACCACTTAACAACATTACTTATACAGTTTGACTTTTAGTGATTTTAGAAAATTAGGTGGGTGATATGCGAGTCTGCGAGTAATAGTCAGAAATCGGAATAGTTAGGCTAGTTTCCCTGATTACAGTAGTTTTCACAATATTTAGTCCTCGACTATAACATTTTTCTTTAATTTCGGAAAAAGAAGATTCTTTTTTTTTGTCATTTATCTATAAACTTCTTTCGTTTCTGTGTATGTATCATTATCATTAACATATAACAACTATCTTCGACTTTATTTCGAGTAGAGAAGTCAGTCGACTTTTCTTTCGCCAAAATAATAAAATAATAATAATATTAATTTGAACCAAAATAATAATAATATTAAGAAGAAGAATTAAAGGTGGTATATATTTTTATAGATAGTAGAGTGCTTTAGGTGCACCGTTCACCACTCTACGCCTCTCGTTATAGATTTTGAATGGTTGCAATACAGATCAATTTATACAAATTAAAATAATATTATTAAAAAAATAAATTAGAACTGGATGTAAATTTGGGTGGACTGCTCATATTTTAGCAGTTCTGGAAGAACTTTTTTTCTTTGATTTTTAGGCTAATAAATATCTGCATGCAAATCTTTCAATTTTATATTAATATTTTTTATTCTACATCAAATCTGTGAATGGTAAAAAATTGCAGATCATTTTAAATACAGTTTAACTGTAATTATTCTGTATTTATTCTACTTCCTATTCAAAGCCATAGTAGATTTAGATAAGCAAAGCCTACCCCTACCTGAGCATCATCATGATTCTTCATCAACCAGATTGTGATGTCATCTGCTTTATTTTCTTCAAATGGTTTGGTAAAACTTTTATTAAAAAATCTCATGTGAAACATATAGATAATAGAATACTATTTATACGTAAAATATGATATGTCTTATTCGGTTGTATCTGGTTCATTAGTTATACCCTAAACTACTTCACTCTTTTTAACTGCTTTCTTGTAACGGTTCATCTTTTAATAAAGGAAACAGATTTCCGATAAAAAAAAAAAAGACATAAACGTTACAAATGGTAGGATTGTCAGTTCAGATTCTCTTCAGGTCGACAAATCATGCTTGATTGATTTATTTCGTTTTTGGATTTACTTTCTAGTGATGTGCCAGATGTTTGTCGATATCACGTCTTGGGTTGGGTTGCATTAATATTTGTTCTTCTGGCATGCCTTTGCACGACCATCACATCCATCTATCATCCATGGCTAATGGACTTGTTATATGTTTAATGGGGGCCATTATACTTTTACTGAATGCTGAAAAATTATACAGTAATAAAGATGAGGCCTTTTAAGCCCATTTGCAATTAGCCGACAGGGGAAGCGGGCAAGTACTTTCTAGACGAAATGGTGAAGGTCGGGTGCGAGCCGTATGTTTCTTGTTACAACGTGATGATCACTTGACACTTGGTATGTTGTATCCGGAGAGCCTGAGAAGGCAAGGAGATGTTCAAAGAGGTTTGGCAGGAGATTTCAAAGCGGTGTGTTGGTTGCTAATGAATGGAATGTGGAGGATGTAATCCGAATTCATAGTGTAAATATGTTGGTGAGCTCCTAAAGAGATTAAAGGTCATAAGAGCTAGATACCGTGATGAAAGGATATTATACTCATTTTATTCCAAAGATGATGTAATGAGACATTAGTTTTTTTAAAGTACCTTTTCCGATTTTCGTAAATTGAACTCATTTTTAACAAAAAATAGATTAGGGAAATAAGAAATGGTTTCTACAAATTAAGAGGAAAACCTTTCTCTAATATAGTGTTTAACCATAGACAATATTCCAAATATAGCAATTTTATATATTAAATGAGAATGTAGTTTAATGAAAAAATTTTTTAAGTGTTTTAATTTGATTGGTTTAAAAAACTGTCATTGCTTATGTCAATGATGACGTTTATTCCACGTCAAATGTGACATGATAAGGATTCTCTTGATTGGTTACTGTTTAATGAGAGATTCCACGTCAAATGTGACATGACAATCTCAATAATTTTTGGGCCCAAAAATAAATCTGATAATCTATATTCTTATTGGGTCAAAAAGATTAATTAATTTTTGGGTTAAAATGAAATTTTGGGCCAAAACATATCTAAAATCATATGAATATTAATAACAACATTTTTAATCAATTAATTTGTTTATATATTATTTTAATTCGCAATTTTAAATATTCAGTTTACTATTTTGTAATTTTTTGGCATTTATTAATTCAAAAATAATTTTTCTCTTTTGTGATGTTTATATATATTTTTTATATAAATTTATTTAATAATAAATTATCAAGCAACATATATTTACACATTTTTGAAAGCGTATATGTAAAATATTTTGACGTAATTATGCAATATATAAATCTAATTTCAGAATTTAGAACTTAAAATTTCATAAATAACAAATATAATTTTAATAAAATAAATCTTAATATTAAATCTTAACAATAAATGCAGATTTTTCCGTGATTGCATCAATGATAATTTAGAATCATATAGTTCTAGGATATTGCCTTAAATTCTAAATTTTTAAAAATTGTTCCTTTAATTTCATTGCCTATAATTTAAAGAAATATGATCATGCATGTAAACAACATTCTTTTACTAATACAGATTTCATATCTTTCTGTTTTCAAATTTGAATTATTGCAATTAATGATGAATTTTGATTACAATTAAATTACTTACTCAAATCAAATACAAATTCATAACAGCATAAATTTTATCTATGCCAATAAAATTTTATTGACCAAATTGAAGATCACAATATTTTTCAAATATTTTCTATCAAGAAATATTCCTACATATAATTATATTTTAGAAAAATAAAATTCAAAAATATTTAATTAAATACATAAAATAATATTGACCAATCGTTTATGGAATATTTGAAGTGTAAATTCTTGAATATCAGGTTTTAATTAATATCTTCATGCTACAATTTTGGTAAGTTATAACGATTTGAAGATTTTGTCTTAATTTATATTTATTTATTATCAAAACTTATCTCACAAGCTATACTAAATCTACCTTATATAATAGAACCCGTTCTTCAATTCCTTTCATTTTTGTTAGCCATAAAATTTAATTGTAGTTCTCACCATTTCAGTTTTTATTTCTTGTGATTTTTAAATTTTCAAACTAATAAATTTTCTTTGTTATTATTACAGAAACAGGAAATACATTTTCTGGTGAGAACAACTCAGAATGGTTTATCAAAATACATGGAGGAAAATTTGGTCTAGGATATGGAGGAAAGTTTGGTCTAGACTGGAATCCCGAGCACAAATGCAGATGAAAATTTTGGTCTTCATCACTAGAATTCTATCATGTAAGGTTTCAGAATTAAAGACGATCTTTTCCTTTCCTAATATATTTCTCCAAAAGGTTTTGTTTGTTTTGTTTATTTTTAATTAATAAGTTTTTCATCAACTATGATAAGATTTAATGGATTTAACATGTTTTTTTTTTTATTGTTTACAGGACATCTGTTGCATGAAACTCATTTGTTCTAGGGGGTTTTTTTTTTTTTTTAACTCATTTACATATATATACAATTTTCAGTTATAGGTTTTTTTGTTTGAGATGTGTAGTTCAGTCATTCTAGGTTTGTGTTTTACAAACATGGGTTTTTAACAAGGAAGCAGAACATACATGTCATCCCAAATATATCAAACTCATATATTTGAAATATTTCAATTTGGGTCTTAGATTAAGATTGTTCATTACATTTAGTATATTTAATGTTAAGTTTTTTTCCTCTTTTTGCTAGATCCCAATGAAATTATACGTTTCCAGGGAAACAAGATGAAGGGGGAAATGATGTTAAAATCAAAAACGTGTTTAATTTGTTTAATCTGAAGGGAAAGAGTATTCACGTCCAGATTGTTCGTTTTAGGGTATGCGATTTTAATTCATTGTGTTTGAGATGGTTATGATTCTCCCCAAGGTTTTGTGTCTTCCGTTTTGTTTCACTAGCTTCTATGAAGAGTTATTCATCAAATCTTTATAAATATTGGATTTGGATGTAGAAAATTATTGATATGAGAGACAAAATGTTTATGCAGGGAGAAGGACATAGATGAAGATTTGCAGTCACATAAAAGGTGTTCTTGCTAAATCAGAAGTCTTGATACTAGCCTTTAAATTAGATGATCCTAGGAAAATATGTTTGGAGATATGTTATTGTATTTGTTTTTCATTGTGTAAACACACTTTAGATAGTATTTTCTCATGTGAAAACAAAGAAAGAAAAACTTTCTCACAAAAGAAATTCTTTTATCAA